GTTCCATTGCATGCCCCTCAATGTAGGGCCGGGATTCTCTTCCACATTTCCACTAAGCAGTAACTTGGTGCGGATGACACTGCTGATGGCGCGGCAACATGTACCCCAAGATTGAAAAGGATAATACTGTGTCCTAGGAAGGCGTGGCTGATTTTGGCACTGCGTGATGCTGTGGGCTTTGCGCCACAAGGTTCTCCGAGTAGCGAACCTTTGCTGGCGCTTGGCTTCCCAAGGCACTACAGTGTGCTGGACCCTGGTACCACGATGAGGTGGCCGGCATCACCGGGGGTTACATATTGTTGGAAACATTTACGTTGGACGTTGCTGAGTTAGTGCTTTGCACATACTTTGATATTTACACCAGTTTAGTGAAGCGCAGGTACAACGCAATGATGCTATTTACTTTTTGTGTTAGATTCTCGAGGTGAAGAGTGTAGTCTAGGGATCTGAATACTATAAGATGTGATTCTTGGCTTTATCTTTGATAGCTGATATCAACATTTACGGTTTGGTGGGACTTGCTCAGGATGATGGAAACCATATTTGCTTTTGACACCATAATGACCACATTATCCTATCCACACTTTGTCTCCTCATGCGGGCTGCTTTCCAGTTTAATCGTAGATTAGGATGGCAAAAAGAGTCTCCCGTAAGCGCTTAGGCGCTTTACTGTTTATCGTTGTTGTGGTGTTGAATCTGATGTTTTGGCAACCGGTGGATCCAGACAAGGACATCGACCCCAAGAGAGAGCAGCAAAATCTATCTCAACAAGAACCGGAAAAGCTACCAAATACACCACTGCCGCCATCAGCACCTATTGTGTCGTCAGGAACAATAGAGACGCAAGCAACTTTTGGTGATGATGACTTTAACTACACAACATATCTCCCAGCAACTGTTTCAGTCATTCCCAGATTTTATGCGAACACCAGGAAGTGGGACAGCCTTTCTATGATGTTGCCTCCTCGCCATTACCAACTGATGAAGTGCCCAGGCCTCCTAATGCGACACCATCTGGAATACAACCGAGTTTCCGAACGCATCAACTTCACCGAAGGACCATTGTTTAGCGTTCCCGGATTCTTCTATAATCCGTATCCTCTATGTGGACGCTACCTTTTGTCGTACCTAATGGATGGACGTCACCCCTACGTGTTCGTTCTTCGTGTGGAGTCGGCTTCTTCAACTTCTTCCACACTAAAACACAACACCATGACTGTAAAAGCAGGGACGTGGAGTGATGACGTTATTATTGAACAGTGTGGTCAGTGCGTGGAATTGGCTGATGTTGAAGATAGAAAGGACCCTTGTGCTGTTGATATTCTTTTTATGGCTCGGTTGCTAAGTGACCACCGTGTGCTGCATGCTGAGGCGTTGCCTGGCGACGGTTTGTGGCGTGGCGGTAGGCGCGTGGCGAGTGTCATTCGTTTCCGTGTTCATGACCCTGGGGAATATGCTCTTGAGGTGAAAATGGTACATGTCAATGGAACAAGTAGCGTCCCGGAAGCTCCAAAGACGTTGGGTCTGGTTGGCACAAGGGCCACCGTGAACGGCCGTAAATCATTTCTGTACGGAGAGGTTTGTGACATACAGCGTAATGTATACGGTAGTCCACTACGCGTGCGCGTTTTGCCCGCCGTCGACGTTCCAGCGACCACTATACCCCCTTTTTGTAACTTCTCTACCAATTACAACTCTAGCGAGGGCGGTCAGTGGGTGCGCTTTATCGATGGTGCCGAGCCGGACACACCAGAGGGCTCTCCACACCCGCTGGCGGCAAACTGCATTACAGGTGACCGCTACTGCTACGGAAATCCAATTTCACTGACAGACTCTTGTGGCCACAATAATCACCTTGTGTGGGTTCCTAGTACTTGTCGTCTGCGCATTTTTCAAATGAACTCCGGCGGACCTTCGACAGGGTGTCTTAGAACGCACCCGCTTCGGTTGACGACGGCATATGTGCTCTTTCTCGGCGACAGTGTCATGCGCGAGTACAAATCAAACTGCGATGCGATGCGGTTTTCTCCGAAAGGATCACAATTAGTGTGTGCTTTTGCCAACATAGCACCAGAAGGAAAGTACGCGTCCCCTGAATACATTTCGTCAGTGGTGCGGGCGATGCTTGAGAGTGTCACAAATAACAGACCCCTTGGTGTGTTTGCCACTAATCTCGGTATACAGCACATGATAGGCAAAGCGACCATGTCGCAGTGGACTATGCTTCTCGACACGTTTGTGCATGAATGGCGCAAGCAGAATGTTACTGTCCTGCGGGGCCCTTACACAACGATGCCGCCGTTTGGAGCGCCGGCAGCTGAAGCTTCTGTGGGGGACTCCGAATGGCAGCGATACATGTGGGAACAGAACCGTCGCAGCCGCTCCATTATGAATTCCACAAAACCCATGTCGACCCCTTACATGGAGTGGGCCATCTGGATATCCCCACCGACAGTGCACTACTCCCGTTATGGGATGACATACCAACGAGAGCTTCTATGGGATCGCGTTGCGTATGAGCGTTTACAAAAGATTGGATTCATTCGACTAGATACCGTGACGCCGACGCTCTCACGGCCGGAGGGTAGTTGGGATGGTCTGCATCAACTGAGTCAGTTGGGAAAGGTACAGTCGCCATGGCGCAACAGAAAAGCAGCTACACATAAATTCAACGGCGGTGTTTCATTTATGCTTTTCCTCATTCTAACAAATGTCATTTGCTACTCCTGAGGCGAGGCACTCTGGCCCTGTGTTTTTGTGACCTCTGGCGTAGTCGCACCCCTTCTCCGCAGGTGAGTTGGCTACGCCAGAAAACTCACATATTGCCTTTGCTTGGACGACGCGCTGGCTTGTATAACATGGTCAAGGCTTCCATGCATCAAATTTGCATCTTTTGGTTTGGTTTGGATTCTCTCGCATGACAATGTTGCGCGGGCAGACACATTGCTTTTCTGTTGCTCTCTGATTTCTTCTGGACATGCAGAGGAGACGACAACACTGCACGTACTGAAGGTGCATAATCTACAAAAAGCGAAGGGTCATGTGCTTATAGTCTTCGCATCCTTTGGTCGGAAAGGTCTTCGTGCTATTATTGAGGAATGCCAAATTCGGTTGACTTGACTCCCTTCTTTTCGTTTTTTCTCCACCTGTATGCAGGCGTTTTTCTGCGGGGTTTCTCTACAGGGTGTCAGTGCTTCTATTATGAAACCACATCCTGGAGAAGGCAGAGGAACGAATCCATTAGAGGGAAGCATTTCTGCGCATCGTTGACCATTCATTTGAATGAGCGAGAAGGAAAAGGGTCTGCAGGCCTCCTCTCAACCCACTTGGCTTATGGAGAACACGTACGCACACTGAGTTGCTGTGCAGCCTTACGGAGATGTCTCGGAGGCGTTTTGTCATGCCTCCCTCAACATAGATGGCGTGATATGGCTTCTTACAGTTAACGGGGCGTGCGACGCGGCGCTTGGTGGGGGCGATGCATCTTTCGGGAAGCGGACGCAGTAATTGTCGCAAAATGAGCTCCTATTGGCCTCGGAAATTCTGCCCAGGTCACTTGGGCCGACGACAGAAGATATGAAGCCATTCAAGAAACTATTCTGTGAACGCTTTTCGTTCACGATATGTGCTACACGTTATGGCCGAAGTGGTGATTCCCCCCTTTATCAGAAGACGGCTTCTTCTATGACAGCTAGGCTCTTACCTCTGGTGAGGTACTTGAGTTCTTTTGCATATGAAAAGCTTGATACAATTTCCACGGCAGTTTTCTGTTGTCCACGAGTCCCTTTCCCAAGGAAAGGGAGGTGCCATTATTGTAGCCTACGTAAAAACTGTGGAGGGACTTCATATGCTTGGCACATTTTTGTTGAGGCTGTAACATCTGGTGACTATATCAATGCGGCGTTGAGAAAGTGGCAGTGTGCTGTATACATCTGCATTCTGGAGTCTGTGGCTTCCTGGTATTACCTGCTGGTATGCCGCTGAACCTAAAAGCGACTGCGAACCATTTGGCGAACACTACACGACTAGCGCGCACGAACACGGCCTCGGTATTGGTTACAGATACAGCTGGCCCTGCGCCGAGGGGCACAGTGCTCTCCGTCCACGCTGTGGTACGACAAGTCCACAAGAAGATACGGATACGACGGCGAATAAATACGTTCTTTTCCTTGGTGTCATAAATGCTGTCGCCTCTGGCCAGAAAAAAAAATAAAAGAATAGCGTCTGGAACCGCGACACCTGAGGTCCGCCGTTGGCTTTGGCGTTTCTTCTGTTATTTGAGTGTGTACCGTTGGGGGAGATGCCTGCGAAAGGAATCGCTACCTTGCGGATCATTGGGGCCGCCCCTTGCATTCGTACGCGGCGACATTTGAGAAGAGGAAGACGTGGGCTGACAGATACATGGGGGAGGCACTTCTAGGCCCATGGGTGACGTAGCGGTTCTAGTGGCCGCACAGGAGGTCGGAAGAGACACCGTTTGGCTACCATTGGCTCCTTCTTCGTACCCAACTCCTAAATCGCGGACTCACAGCCCTGTCAGGGACATTCAATCAAACAAAAAAGAGGCGTATGCATGTGGGCATGCCTCCAAAAGCCCAAACACACAAATACGGCCGTATGGATATCTTGTGATGAATAACCGTAGGAAGCAAACTGACCGAACAGATAGGGCTGCTGTAGAGACAGGCCATTGCGAATTAGGTGCACAACTCAACAACAAAAATGCGTGCCGTGGATGCCTGTGTCGTCGTAGCTGCCTCCATCTCTTCATCGTTATCGGCTAATGTGCCTCTCTATAGGGGCAGAATATACGTATTTCTTTCTCTCCTTCTCTAAATATATATATATATATATATATTTATTTATATATTTGTGTGTTTTTTTCCATAGACGTCCACGTTGTTTTTCTGTGGGCCCAGGGCGAGCAGAAAGGGAGACGGAGGGGGAGGTCTTAAGGGCTCTATTCCTTTCAAAATAACACGCCCATTGACACTCCATGAAATGTAGATACGGGCCACTAAGAAGAGCCTAATTTTTCCGTGCAGTTTCAACGCTTAAGAAAAAAATAACGATCGCTTATGTTTAACATATTTTGCGTTTGGGTACACACTTCACCCGTTTTTCGAGGTTGGAAGAGCAACTCCTTGCCATTCGCCACTTCCTTCTGCTTCGCGTTGCGTGTGCTAGATGCTCCGATGATTGGTGTAAACGTGTTCGAGTTGAGCTCCGGTCCGCGTACGGCGAAGTTGGCGCAGGTCCGAGAGGATGGAAACATAGCAAGCGAGCTTGACGCGTTGTCTGCGGCAGTCGGTGAGCCTATTGTGTTGTCCGCTGTTGTATTCCACGCCGTCCGTGACAAGAAGATTTGCAATGCGCCTCTCCCAACAGAACAGCCCCTACGTGACCTCGGCATCACCAACGGCAGTTTCCTCATCGTCCGCAAGAAGCGGCCGGTGCGTGGCGGCGCAAGGAAGGCGGTGATGGCCACGGCACCAACAGATGCAGGAAAAGCGTCAGCTGCCTCCCCACCCGCCGCGTCAACCGGTTTGTCTTCAAATGCGGGCGCTGCCTTGGGCCCAATGCGGGGGCGTGACTCGGTCGTGAGTGAGGAGGCAGTTCCGTCGGAGACACCACGTGAGGCGACGGTTCTCTTGAGTGATCAGATGCATTTGCTGGTGCGCGAGGTGGGAGAGGAAGTGCGGAAGGCGACAGCATCATCATGGGAAAAAAATAGGGTGGACTTCATGAAGGAACAGGCACAGTTTGAAGAGAAGCGCCTCGCAGAGGTGCAGGAGGCGATAACGCGACAAGTGGAACAACAACGCGCCATTGAACGGGCCATGGGTGTTCTGCAGCAACATATTACTGAGAACGAGCAGGTGACGACAACTGTAGAGTCGATTCATCGTCTCAATGAGAAACTATCGGATGAACTGATGGATGTGCGTAGGAAAGTATCTACCAACGTGCAAGAGAGTGTCAGTGCGATTGTAAATCTTCAAGAAAGAATAGAGGAATCTGTACACTCACTGGTACCTGTGCCACACAAGGCCGCTTCTCTGCTCAACAGTGCAACCGTTCCAAGGCATGCGGGTGGTATGGTTCAACTCTCTGTGCCGCCTGCGGTCTCTGCGGAGGAGCTCGCCCTTCATGAAGGTTTGCTCCAACACTTTTTTCATGCAGTAGGACAAGAAACGGTTACTGCGAAGGATATGCTGTCGCGGTTTGGCAACCTTGGCGACGTGTACAATGCATTGTCTTTAAAATACAAGTTACACCGCAGCCCTATGCATGAAGCGGTGCACGGATACTTGCTGGCGCGTTTTCCGCACCTGGCGCCCGCCACACCCGTCATCTGCTCTTTGCACGAGGGACGTGAGGTGGAGTACTTGGAGTCGGTCACACTCAAGTCTCTTGGCATCACAACGCGCTCGCCCCACACGTGGCTCGAGGTCGTGCTGCCTGGTAACTGCGACGCTCCGCACTGCCAATATTACTACTCTTCATTGGTTTGCCTTAGCCAGCGCGAGAAGCCGGAGTGGTTACCGTCTACGGACACCACTACATGTCGTCTGTCCGAGCTGTCTAGTGTCTGCCCGCGCCTGCGTCTGCGTAACCCACAGTGGACGGAACACGGAAGCCCGTACAGCAAGCTCTTGCGAAGCAGGGCTTCGGCACTTGTTTTAATGCGGCGGCCTGACCTTCAAGGTAACATCGACGTTATCTTGCGGTCGTACAACAAACGAGAAGAGTCCCTTTTGAAACTACTTACCGTTGGTCCGTGAAGACTTACCCTCCACAGGCTCCCCCCTCCCAATGCCCTTTGTTCGACAGCTGTCATACTTGTTTCCCATGCAGGGATGACGTGTCTTGTTTTTCTTTGCACTTCCAAGAATGAATGCAGTGGGCGTTGACAAGACGCCGCATAAAATCCACAGAAGTTCAACAGACGCTTCACAAACATCAGGTGAGCATTCATGCCCAAAGTACGTTGTGGCTCTCAAAGGCACAAGCGGTTAACCACTACCGCCTCCAGTGCCACGGAGGAGTACCTATA